AGCAGTGTACTTTTGGATCGGTGGACGCTGGGATCAGATCGGCAATTGGACTTTTTGGCCAGTTGATTTAGTCACGGCGCTTGGCAGTATATTTTTGGCCACTCTTATGCAAAATCTTTTGATCGGTTTAATGAGGTGATTTTGTATTCTCTTAAGCTTATCGTTATAATTTTATTGAATTAATTTTATTTAATTAATCTATTTTAGTAAAGCGCTAGACGAAACAGCTCTTGGGAAAAGAGCGGTCATACAAATGCGTGCACATCTTATAATAAATTATCCTGATGCATTTTCGCAAATTAGAGACGTATACTACTCTATTCCAGGTGAAGAAGTAAAAAAACTAAGAAAGAAAATCCTAGAAGAAAAAAACGACGCGCCTTATGAGGAAAAAACAGAAGAACAGCTAGGCCACATTGAAGCTATAGAGGTAAAAACAGAAAAACAACTAGGCCACATTGAAGCGATGGAGAAAAAAACAGAAAAACAGCTAGGCCACATTGAAAATATGGAGAAAAAAACAGAAGAACAGCTAAAAGATCTTGAAGAAATAGAGAAAAATACAGACAAACATCTAACAGAAGCGTATAAGAAATTAGAAGGTCGTATTGAGGGATTAGAAACAACTCTTAGTGAAATTTTTACTTTTTTAAAAAATTCTGAAGCTAATAAATAAATAGGATATTTGTATTAAAATACAATTACTTGCTAAACGATCTTATCTATGAATATGTTGTACGTACACCCCTATGATATATTACCGGAAATTTCAAAAATGAATTTGTCACTTTGGATCCCGATATTTCGACATCCGGTGAATCTAATGGTGATATCTTTGTTCGAATGGGATCACTAGGATAGCGAGATATCAGGATCCAAAGTGACAAATTCATTTTTGAAATTTCCGGTATATATTGTAGGGGTGTGTAGGTGCCCAACTACCCCAGCTCATCCACGATCAATTTTCCCTTCAATGAGGATGCGTAAATTTTGATCAACCCGGCAAAACAAATCCGCACAAGAAAATTAACAATGCAAAAAATACGGGAAATAGATGCCTAAATCTAACTTGTATCACTAATAAAAAATGACGGGAAGACAATTTTACATATAATCTTACTCCAACTCCTAACCCTAACCCTAACTTTAAATTAGTGCAGAATGTTTCGGGTAATTATTGTAGATCAAAAAATCACGTGAAGGGAAAATCGAGCTGGATAAATGTATGTGCCCGGAAAAATATGGAATACAATTTTCCGTCTGAAAATTATCAGAAAGTAGCTCATCTAAATTACTACACTTTTGGGGGAGGTGTTTTTCATTATGAAAACACGTTAAAGGGAAGCACCCTGACCACGGCAAAAAAAGTATTGATCATGTGATTCCGATCCCAATGCGAACATCCGATACCCCCTTAAAATCATGCACCAATCAAATCGCAAGGTCAATGTATTGTTACCGAGATGTAACAAATTTCGTCGATCTCATAATTTTCGGAGAAGCTCGCCCATCTCAATTTCGACAATTTGCTTCATCTATTCAGCTTCTCTGTGTAATGTAATGTCCTGCTTTTTCTATTTTAGATCCGCTTCTGTTTTTCTTTTCCACAATAGTAATTCACTTTTTCTCTCCTGTTTTCGCTTTTGTTTATTCGTAATAGTAAATTTGCTTTTAGATTCGTTTTTGTTTATCTCATTTTTGAATTCGCTTTTAACACAATAATAATAATAATAATTTCACTTTCAAATTCACTTTTTTTTTCCCACCCTTAGTTATATTTTCAATTTCACTTTCAAAAAATAATATATTAGCATAAATAGCTCTAGGACAATCTAAATGTAACAAAAAAATGTATATATAAAGATCCTCAAAAACATCAATAAAAGATAGAATTTAATTGCACACAATTCTTCTCCAAGTAAAGTAACACTTGTAAAACGGAAATAATTGCGTACAATTCTTTCACCAAATAGTATAGTTTGTAAAGACATTGAATTTGATTGAGTTGATTGATGGTTAGTTCCTTTAGTCCAGAAAAGGCATTGTGATTGATTGAAAAGCGCTTTGTGTTGAATAGTTTAAGGCTTTTAGCTAGAAAAAGCAAACAATTCGAGTTTAGTTTAATATTGTTAATAATATCCCGCCACTTAAGAATAAAGAAACCCAAATTCACTTACCTAGACATTAAACAGCCCCCCTTTGAAACCACTCTCTCGTCATTAATCCAACAATATCGGCACAGAAATTAGATACCGACAAACACGAATCAGTCTCTACACTCTCACCATTCACTTGTTGTAGGTAAAATCTTCAATTACAGTATAATGCAAAAAATTGAAAATAAACGCTTACTTTTAAAAAATAGCTTGTATATTGAAATTTTGCTTACGAAACAATTATTTGTGTTTTAACAAAAAATGTTCCTTGCGAAATTTTACTGTATACTATGTCCCCGTTTGCTATATAATAACCTTAACCCTAACTGAAACTTTTTAATATTAAAGGGGATGTCGGATGGTTGGTGTCGGGTCGGCATTGGAATCACGTGAACGACACTTTTTTGCCGTGGTTAGGGTACTAGTTAAGGGAGGACAGAAATTATGTGATCATTTAAGGCGGCAAGGTTAGAGAAAATGTCAGTTCCCAATGACACGTCGAATTTAATTGGTACTTGTGAATCAGTTGGAAGGTGAATATATTAAAGTTACATAATTTCTGTGCTTCCTAAAATGAAACCAACAGCGACATCATATACGAAATTATTCTAACGACTTATGTCGTTTTTGCTCTCGTACTATCAACTTCTTTTATTAGCTCTCAGTTAACACCAAAAACACACAAGAAAAGGGAGCATGATGAACAGCAACAAGATATTTAAATAGTTGTATGCCAAAAAAAGCCATAATAAATGAGTTTCTTAAGATGAGTGTTAACGCAAATGTGACTTCATCAATTTTTGGTGGCATATTGTCACGAAAATGATATTGTTCCTGTCATGTGCTATAAATCTTTGCTTGAAGAATATATTCAAACATTGCAAGCTGAAAACCCATAGTCATTGAGTCTGCAGTGTTATAATATTCTGTTCTGTTACTGTGGTATGAGTTGATTACCAGCAAACTGTTAATAATACTACGATTCGTACCGGACAATTAATTAATTCTGTACTATAGAACTCTTAGTTTTCTAAAAATCCTGTTTATTTAGTAAATTCGATTCTCAAGGAGGTTTGCTATAATTGTTCCTAAAATAACTTCGGTTTATGCAAGTTTAATTCGCGCTTGGGTACTATGGATGGTACATATCATAAGAGATTTGTCAAGTCTCCGGATACAATGATTGGCATACAATATCACATGTCCATTGGCAATACTGTTTGCATCTTTCTTTACTATTTCGTTTTTAATCTAAATTATGCTCCTAATTTACCATCACAGCATTAATAAAAAACATTTCATCCGAAGACATCTCTACACTATTTACTTGTCTATTAATAAATAAAAACGATTTAAACACAGCTCGTAGATTGGAAAGATCCATTTGATTTATCACTAGCGAAAAGAGGACAAACCATTACACTAGTTGAAGATTGATGCCTTCCTACTTAACACATATATTGTTTCTCAAAAAGTAAGATTGAATAGCACAAATATTCAAAAAAACAGTTCCAAACACGCGGAAATCATGTAAAATATGTTGGATGAAGTTTATTGTGAAAATGTCTTCAAATCAACAATAGATTATAATGATAATAACTAGTAATAGTTAGGGATGTTAAAGGTTCAGTCCGAGCTGATACATGTATATACAGTGGCATGCAAAAATAACGCACCACTTACATTGCTAATCGTTAATCACCTGATTCTCACTCACATGTAATCCGATGAACGCAAAAAAGATTTGCAATCAACGTCTAATACAGTTCTTTTAAGTTAACACAAAAAAACGCATTTCATTATACATGTATATATATGTTGTGCCCCAAATCACAATTTGCCCCAATTGACAATTGGGATATATCCCAAATCAAAATCTAAACCAAATATAG